GCTGGCCCAAATTTTGCAGTCATAATGATATAGGAAAAATGGCCTACCGGTTTTCACTGTTATTTCTGATCCCCACAGACAACATCATGGGGCACAAAATACAAACAGTAATGTTTCTTTCACTTGAACTTTAGCTTCATATACCTAAGACTAGATACCAAAGGAAACTTGTATATATGCCATATACATTTACATGTTTTTCTGGTTTAGTGTTGTATATGTCACTGGCAATAAAAACAAACAAACAAACAAACAAACCACTTGACATTTTACCGTCAATAGATGATGATAATACAGAAGCGAACCCCTCTGTGATCCATTAGAGCCCACCCCCCTTCTACGTTTTGCCGGCAGACTCTCATATATTGATTGCTCCTGATGGAAATATTGAAAATGTAATTTGAAGCTTAACAGCAGCCAGAATTTCTGATATTTTATCTGGTCACTACATGTTTATAATCAATTTTTGAGAGACAAAACAGTGATAAGATTTTACTGTTTAAGACAAGTGCCCAGCAGGTGTTAATGAGGGGCAGGCAGCGGGGTATATAATGATATTTCCCTGGGTAAAGAATTTTGCTGTGGAGCAAGTTGAATGGGAAGAAAGCCCAAGGAAATATGGATTATCCTTCTTAAAAATTGGATGGGGGAACTGAAGGTAATAGGTACTTGCTCTCTGCCAATTTCATAATGAAATTATCATTCAGCAAAAATTGGTTAGAGTTTTTTTTTTTCCTCCCAAAGGACTGAAGACTCTTCATAGAAAAAAAAAAAGAGAAGAAAAAAGACACTATTAGTATTGAGTATATGGATTCATTGGTCCGGAATATTGAAAAGAACACAGAAAAATCTGGAGCATGAGAATTTCCATATAATTGTTTCTGTAAAATCTGAAGAGGAGTGATTGCATCTAAATAATCACCCTGCTAATTCCATCTAATTTCACTACAAAATGGGAGAAAAGAGAATAAGCAGAGGAACTGGAGATGGTGAATTTAAAGAGGAAGAAGATTTAAGTAAATTCAACTGGCAAAACAAAAAGGGGCCTGGTATCTCACTAGCTCCTTGATTAAAATGGTGACTGTGACTTTCAGTTCATACAACAGCTCTCCCTGGGGCCATGAATCTGTCAATCCCCAAACATTTGTCCTCAGGCCTGTCTCCTCCAAACAGATAACAAACCCAATATTTCCAACCTCTTGATAATTGACTAGATTCAACCTAAACTCTATTCACCCCAAATTGTCGTATAATCAAAACCCGGCTTGAGAGCTTATTGGATTCAATTCAAAACAAACAAAAAAAATCAATGAATCAGCTGACTTAGCTGTGCATTTGGGCAACAGCTATGGAGCAACTCGGTAACAGGTAAAGGCCACTGGTGGTCTTTGTCTGCATTCTTTGTGTTGAAATTCCGTGAACGGGGTTCTATCACATTTCATGGTTATTTGCCTTGAGCTTTGTTGTTTCCTCTGTCCAGTGCATCTCCTTTCTTTCCCCTTGCTGTTCACCTGGCCAACCCCTTCCACTTCCTTCCCAGCGTGACCCAAGCATCTTCTGCTGGGTTTGATTCCTGCCCTGCCTCCACACTACAATTGGCCACTATATTCGTTATGCTCTTCACCAATCCATGTAGTACATATCTCTGATTTTACACTTACTGTTCTTTATTGCAGTTATTTATTGCAAAAATATGTTTGCTTGTTTTTTATTTTATTTTCCTAGCACAGTTCCTGGCACAGGGCATGACACATAGTAGGTACTCAGACATGTCTGTTGGATGAGTGGATGGATGAATATATTGACAGATGGATCAATGGATAGATGAATGGATGGCAGGCACTTCTGGTGATGATCTGTCAATACACTCAACCGCCACACATTAACTCCGCCCCTACAGTGTGCCAGACAGCGTGATAGAGCTAAAAACAACCATGGGGAACGAAACTGAAAAGTCAGCCCGAAAGATAAAACAGCTTAATTTAAACCCCAATTAGTTACTTTGAAAGCTGATTGATAATGAGGAATTTGACCGAAATATAATCTTCTAAACCCCCAACCCATGCAGATGTCTTCTCAAGAGTCTCAATAGGGAACGTGAAGTAGAACACACTCCTTAGGCGTGCCTGTCTGGACTGTGTCTATTTAGTTCACCAAACACGAGCCAGGAAGCATCAAAGGAAAGAAGGAACAGGACGAAAAACGGAAAACAAAAAGCGGCTTCAGTCGTCCAGACAGGCCTGTCTTTTAGCCATAAACAGAAGTGTCAAAGTCCTCTTTAGGTGCACAGACTCATTTTTATCTCTGCTTCTACAGGCAGCAAATCTGAGTGCATCACTCCTCTACCTAAAACCTTTCATGGATCATCATGGCCTCTGAACAAAATCCAGATCCTTTAGGGTGTCACTCAAGGTCCTTTGTGAGGTGTGGCTTCAGGGATCTCCAGGTGAATCCCGCTGCCCATCAGCCTCCCTAAGCTATTTCCTACTTCCTCCAGCCTGTGCCATTTCCTTTGCTGACTCTTCTTTACTTAAAGTCATTCCTCTACTCAGAATCCTTTGCTCCCACCTCTCCTCAACCCCTCACTTTTTAAGATTCCCCAGGAAGTCCTCCTGAAATCCCGTAGGTTGAGTTAGGGGCCCTTCTTCTGCGTTCTCACAACTTCTCACGCCTCCTGTCTGTCGATGCACAAGCAACAAAAATACTAGCACTGTTGTCATTGACATGTTTATGTCACTATGCGGGTAAGAGGGCAGACAGGCATTGTGCTTTTTATTTCTGTATCCATAGGACTCACCATATGGCCTGGCACGTGATAGGTATTCAATAATATAGTTGTTGAATCGATCAATTACCTCGCTAGGAAGCGATCTGAGATGACTCAAATATACCAAATAGAACAGCGATTACCCTTCGCTTCATCTAGAATAGTAGTGTTATATTTCTATTTTTTAACAAACAATATTTTTGTTAAACAGTTCTTGCATAAAATTTGATGACTATGAAAACACATAAAAGAAAATAAAAAGCACCTGTAATCCTTCCATGCATAGACAGGCCCTCGTTTATCCTCTTTTCTGCTCGCAAACCCTGTCTTTATCCTCTTTTCTGCTTGTTTAACATTAAATAGTGTGTATTTTCTCCATGCCATTAACTTGTCTTCAGAAACATGATTTTTAATGACCCAACCAGTGCATCGAACAGTGGACACACAATAATCGTTCTTTGACTTTACCCCAGTTCCTCGATCTTGTCGTTGGAGACCAGATCCTCCCCACACACAAGGTCGTCGGGTCTTCTGCCCTGTGGCGGCCCAGGGGTGGGCATGTGACCAGTTAGGCCAGTCTCCCTCTTTGAAATTTTTTTGTAGCCTAGTCTTAATATTTTACTTCTTCAACTGCTTTTCATGATAAAGGAATATAAAGCAAAAAAATGATATGGCTTCAAGATAACCTGTCTTTCTGGGCAGGTCTTTGAATGCTTCAGTCCAACATGCTATGTTTACTGAGCCTCTGCTTGGTGGTGTGTTTTCCTGGAAGTCTTAAACATCACATTTTCCTCAAGCTGTACAGAGCTGCGGACCCCTGGGGATTCTCCCCCACCCCGCAAATCCTGAGAGTAAAGCTCTGCCTTGCCTCCCCATCTGAGTCCAGCCCAACTATAGGCAAGGTGGCTTTGAGAATCGGTGGAGATAAGAGTATTGTAAGACAGACAGATGTCAGCTGTGGTGAAAACACCCAAGGCCAAAAGTTGACTGTATGGATGGGATACAAGGCAGGCACCGAGCCGTCATCCTTGATACTGCTCTCCCTCACCTTCACATCCGATCCAGCACGAAGTACTCGCCAAACGTTTCTCCTCTTGGTCCTATTTGTTGCTGCCCCTACTCTTCCTTTTCTTCCTTCTGTTCTTCTTTTGAGGCCATGACAGGACCAAAGCCAACATTATCCCTCACCTGGACAACGAGAGCCCAGTAACTAACCCCTTTTATCCACTCTGATTCCGATTCTCTACATGGCCTTCCAGTCATGTTATACAAGAAAAGTCTGATTACATCCCCTCCTTAATCAAAACCTTCAGTGGCTTCCATTATGTTTTTAAAAACGAAACTCCTTCACATGGCCTGGAAAGCTTTGCACTGTGTGCTCCTGTTCACGTCTCAGCCACACCACATCCTGCATCCCTGTTTCTCTCTGCTTCATCCTCACTGGCGTGCAGTCAGCCCCTCATATGTACTGCCACGGGGCTTTCGCTCATGCTGCCCCCTCAGCCTAGAGCATCATGCTTATGTCTTTTCTTACCTAGTTAATGCTGACTTATCCTTCAGGACAAGCTGCACTTTCTTACAGAAGTCTTGCCTGACCCGTTTCATCCTCACCTAGCACACTGACCTCTCTATTGTAGCACTTGTCATAGATCTGTAATTAATCAATTAATGCCTATACTTTCCCTTGGACTATATAAGCTTCAGGAAGAGGGGGATCACGTTTGTTTCCTTATTTATCCCCAACTAACTAGCTGAGACCTGGCATGCAGCAAATGTTTAATAAATATTAGTCGAATGAATAATGAATGGATGGGAAATCACTTCTTTGAAGTTCTACATCATGTGATTTATGAGCAAGCAGTTTCCTTTAGGGAAGCTTGTTAAACATAAGAGAACATGCTTTCAGATTCTTCTGTAAGAAGATCATTTGAACAAAGGTCTGTTATCTGGCAATACACAAAGTTCCATCCCATGTGCCAATTACAGTCAATTACTAAATTCCTGTACAAATTGAGGTTTCTGAGAGTGAGTACAGGCTTATAGAAAAGAGTGCCAGGTCAATTAGCAGTACCTACATGGGTACTAACCCTGGCACAGACAGAGGCTGCTTGAGATGGCTGATGGCATTGTAACTTTTTCAGTTTTATACCGATGGTGGCATCCATTCATTTAACTAACACCATTTTAATTCTTCTCTTAAAAAAACCTTGTCTTTCTCTCTTCCTCTCTCTAGATTTATGGTCAATGTGACATGGGATGGCAAAGACCTGTCCTTCACTGAGGAAGGCTATCAAGTACACCCCAGGCTGGTGGTGATCGTGCTGAACAAGGACCGAGAATGGGAAAAGGTGAGTGTCCTGCTGTGTGTGCTGACCACGGGGAGGGGGCCAAAGCATGGGCCACACACAGGCTCGAATTACTCCTTTCTCAAAACATTTCCCATTGAGCTGCTCCAGATCCCATCCCCCAGCCAGGCGCAGACCTTTCTTGGAACAAGACAGACAGATATTAGGAGGTACAATTGGAATGCTTTCTCCGGGTGAACTGTGGCGATTGTGTGTTGTTCTCAATGCTGGGTTCTCAGGTCTCAGGAGGAAGGGTCCTTGAAGGACTCAGGCCAATTTAAAGACGGTCACATTTGTTCACATCGTTGCAGTAGCTAGTGCTGACTATGCTAGCAATGGTTACTCCGGTTCACCTAAACCTCATAATTGTGCATCACGTTTATACGCTTTGCCGTATGGATAAACCTTATATTTTCATTTACATAGTATTTTACTTTAAATCAACCCATTTCCAAAATTTAAGTGTATCACTTCCGTAAAGCATAGGTTGGAGAGGGAAATTATATTTCTTGTAAAGCACATTTTCTAGTACATATATATTAAGTATTAAAAATATGAAAAAATAACCATGTAGGAAAAAATCATCTTGTGCACTGTACAGGCATGTCGTGGGTCAGAGGGAAGACTTCACAGGGTTTTCAAATCATCCCGTGCGGAAATGACAAGAGCTGTCCCAGTCACACACTATCCTCCCCTATAATTCAACTCTCAAATTAGTTGTCACAATATCACATAAAGAGCAGAATGAAAGAGACTGCAAATGAAGCCTATATTGTTATCTTGTCTTTTTTTGACAAGCAACGCATGGCCTCCAAACTACTTCAGCAGCTTGAGATTTATCTTCACTTGGCACATCAGACAGAGGCCCGAGAAAGCCCGGGGGTAAGGAAATGCTGGGTGTCGTGTGGGAGCCATAGTGTAATTAACTAGGGTCAGAAGAAAGTGCTGTGCAAACGGAAGCACTGACTTTGGCGGGGTGTGTGGGAGTCAACGACAGATTCCTAGAAGGGAAGATGAAGCTTTGGAAGGTTTCACACGCTACATCCAACAGCTACAAAATACACACTTCTTCAAGTGCACTTGGAAAATGCACCAAGTGGACTGCTTGTGGGACGTAAAACAAGTGTCAATATATTTAAAAGGATTGTAATAATGCACAATGCATTCTTTGACCACAACAGCATTGAAATAAAAATTAATAACAAAAATGTATCAAGAAATGTATCAAATGTTTGGAAATTAAGCAGTATACTTCTGAATTACCTATGGGTCGCAAAGAACTCAGGAAGGTATTAGAAAATATTTTGAATGGAATGATACTGAAAATACAATATATTAAACAAAATTGGAAGAATAAGAGGGAAATTCGTAGCTCTAAATGCTTATAATAAAAAAAAGGAAAGTGTAAAGTCAGTGATTTACACTTCTACATTAAGAAGTTAGAAGAGCAAAAGTTAACCCAAATGAAGTAGAAGGAAGGAAATAAATGGAAGAGTAAAAATCAACAAAGTAGAACACAATGTAGAGAGAAAAACCAACAAAGCCAAAAGCTAGTTCTTTGAAAAGATTAATAAAATTCATAATTCCTAGGAAGAGTGATCACACACCAAAAAGAAAACACAAATCCTAATAACCAGTACTAAAAATGAAAGAGAGGATATCACCAGACATTACAGATCCTAGACATTAAAATTATTTTTGAAAATGATATAAAATTTATGCCAACAAATTCAGCAATGTAGATAAAATGAGCAAATTTCTTGAAAAGCCACAATTTTCCAAAACTGACACACAAAAAAATGGACAATCTGAATAGTCCTAAATTTGCTAAGAAATTGAATTCATAACCGAAAACCTTCCCATTTAAAAAACAAGAAAAACTCCTGGCCTAAATGGCTTTGCCATGAATTCTATTAGACATTTAAGAAAGAAATAATACCAGTCTACACAGTTTTTCAACATATTAGTAATCATAAACCAGCAATATATTAAAAAAGGCTAATACTTTGTGGATAAGTGATGTTTATCCTAAGAATGCAAGATTGGTTTAATAAATCAATGTAATTTACCATATTAACATAATAAAGGAGAAAATTATATGGTCATTTCAATAGATGCATAAAAAGCATTTGACAAAATCCAGAATTCATTCATTATAAAGAAGGGAGATGTTTCAATTTGATAAAAGTTACCTATGAAAACCCTATAACTAACATCTTGTATAATGATGAAATAATGAAAATAGATCCATAAATATACATTCAAGTCATTTTGTTGAATAATTAAGATAATGAAGGAAATGAAAGTCTTTTTAATAAATGGTGCTAGATCAAAAGGATGTCCATAAAGAAAAATGGAAAAATAAACCTTGACCTCACACTATACACAATAAATAACAAAAATAAATTTCAGACTTAACTGTAAAAGCTAAAATTATAAAATTTGTAGAAGAAAGTATGAGAGGGCATTTTTGCGATCCGAGAAAGCAGAATGCAAAAGGCATGAAGCATACAGCAAAAATAATAAACTAGACTCCATGAAAATTTAAAACTTTAACCTGTATATAGACACTGTTATAAAATGAAAAACTCAAGCCACAAATTAGGAAAAAATATTTTAAAAAATATATAAAACAAAGGACTCATATTCAGAAAATATAAAGAACTTCTATGAGTCAATAATGAAAAGAGAAAAAACAGAAGTGGGAAATGACCTAAACATGAAACCATGTTTAACATGTTGTCATCAGTGAGATGCCCACTTAATAATGCCCACTTAATAATGGCTAAAACAGAAAAGAATGGCAAGTGTTAGAAGGATAGGGAGCTACTGAACATCTTATATATTGCTGATGGGAATGTAAACTTACAGCCACTGTTGAAAAGTGTTTGACAGCTTCTTATAAAGTTAAACATACAAAAACCTTAAGATCCAGCAATTCCACTCCTGGGTATCTACTGCAAAGAAACGTAAACATGTACCCAAAAAGTAATATTTGTATAAGAAGGTGCATTGCAACTTTATTTATAATAGCAGAACATCCAAAAGAACTCAAATGTCCATCAACGAGGAAATGGATAAACAAATTATGGTCCATTCATAAAATGGAATGCTGCTCATTAATAAGGAATGAACTAATAATTCCCACAACAGTGTGGATAAATTTCAAAAACTTCGTGCCGAGCAAAAGAAGACAGACACAGAAGGTTAGACTGCATGGTTCCACTGAGGTGAAGTTCAAGAAGAGGCAAAACTAGTCCGTGGGGTTAGCTGTCAGAACAATGGCCACCTCGTGGGGGAGGACCAGCAACAGGGCGGGGGCACAGTGTTCCCTATCCCGGACACTTGCCAAAACGCGTCAGACTAACACATGAGATCTGTTTATTTTATTCTATGTCATCTCACCTTAATTTAAAACAATTTTTGAAATGCTTCAAATTGACATACCCAGTAGAATTAACTACCAGTATTTACTGAATTTCATATTTAACTCCCAGACATGAATACTAACTATAACAATAATAACCATTGTTGCTATATTGAACACCTACTCTTATTTTTCCTTTAGCTGATACACCTAAGCACTGAGTGACAACTTCATTTCTTCATTCATTCAACAAGTGTTTATTCAGTGCCTACTATGTGCCAGGTGCTATTCTTAGGGCTCGGAATCTATTAGTGAGCAAGAGAGACAAAACAATAATAATTTCTGTACTCACGGAAGTTAGATTTTAGTGAGTGTGTAGGGCGGTGGGGTGTGTATTTTTGTGATACTTGAGAAAAGCATTGGATTCTAGTTAACTGTCCCTAGTTTTTACCTCCTCTTTCCCCTTTGGCATCCCCTATGGCCCACCTTACCACCCCACCAGCATGCTAAGTGGGTTCCTTTATGCATCTGGGACTTGGACCACTTTTTAATTTATTTTTTTGCCTGTAATGCTTTCCTGTATCTTCATCTTCTTTTACTCATCCTTCAAGTTCTGGTTTGTTGTTGTTGTTTTCATCTTACATATCCAAAGCCAAAATGCAAGTTATTCATTTTTTTTCTTAATAGGAAGTAGAGAACTTGAGCCTCTCTGCCTATGTTGTTGAGTTTGGGTTATTTTTCAACCTTTTAAAGTTCCACAATCTGAGGATCACCTTTGGAGCTGTAGAATCATTCTCCTTGGTTGGATTTAACCAGTCCGAGTCTGGCCTGCCTCACACCTGTGGATTTTTTGTGCTGCTTTTGGACCTTGCCAGGGAGCGTGTTCACAGGGAGGCCACTAACAGCAGGTGATAACATTGCATAAACCAAGGCTGCCCTTGATACCCTCTATTACCAGATACAGAAAATACCCTTTTAAGATTTTGTGTGTCCTCTTTCAAATTCCTATTGAAACGTAGTAATTTCCCAAAAAGGCAGCTTGGGGAATTGCTGCCGAGTTGAGCTTAGAATGCATAAACGCTTCCTATAGTGAGTCTATTCTCTTGGCACTCAGGGGATCCAGTGTTTCAGAAATAACTCCTTGTGCTTCTGTCTCGAAGAAAGAGGAAGCCAGTGGAGCAGGTAAATACCAGTCATGTTATCCTAAAACCAGCCCCCTGAGCAGCACCCACTGGTATAGCAGGTCAGCAGAGGGGAAGGCCTGCAGAAGAGGGGAGCTGTTGTTCTGGGACTCAGAGGCAATTTCTTTTCATCTCTGAGGTCACCCAGTGGCGTCACTGGAAGCAGCAGCATGTAATGAGGTGTCTTAGAAAATATGACAAGCCCTTAGAGGGGCATTTGCTTCCTGCCCGGCCTGTGTATGTGGTTGGTGTGGATTATTCCAGTTCTATGCACAGTGCCTGCCTGTGTTCAGCAGACACAGAACTCAGTTTTCGGCAGGCTTTCTCGTGCAAATCAGGGCTTCTATACTTTTTGCCTCTTCTTTTCTTCAGTGATTTAGCTCTGCCTTGGAGCTTGGTGGGTCCACGTCTTCCCAGAGATGCTTGAAAAGAATACCCTGGATGCAAGCCAATTG